GACCCCCGCCCGGAGAGGGGCCCGGGGGCGTGTCAGCGGGCGGGGCAGAAAAGGCCACGCCCACGGGCGGCCGCGGCCGGGGACAAGCAGGAGGCCGGCTCTACCTCGCCCCGCCCCGCAGGTCGGGATGGCCTTCACCTACGCCGTCTCGGGCGTTCAGGGCGGGTTCCCGGGATCCGGTGCCGCGGACCGTGCCTTTAAGGGGCTCTCTGCCCAGGCTGCTCACAGCGCCGCCTAGCTGCTCCACGCTGTCACTCGGCCCTGCCCCGCCCGCTCCCGGAACTGTTAGAATCCCTCACCGCTGCCTTCGGGAGGAACCCGGGCGGTGGCCGGGCTAGCCCAGGCCTCCCGCGAAACCCTCCCTGATCGGGCTGGCCTTGCAGCATCTGGGACTTGTCCCACCCCTCCCAGACTTCCGGGGCAGCCCCAATCTTTCCCCCTAATTTCCATGCAGTGCTGTGTAACTTTACAATGTAATTTTGTGGCATTTGGGAGCTCGACTCTCCTTTGAGAGAAGCCTGAAATCCGGCCTCGCGCATCCTAGGTTTTCTCATATGAAACAAGAATTCTAATACTAATACTACATTTTCGGCTCTTGTAAGAACCTCGGTCCAGTGCCTGGTGTGAGCGTTCCTATGCCTTCTCAGTGAGTTCTAGGCCAGCCAGGGTGACATAGTGGATTTCTATCTGGTGGAAAGTAGAGAAGCTTGTAGGTGATTTCAAGCTCTAATAACTCTGCATCGGCTTACAGGCAGACTGAGGGTAAAAAAAGGACACCTCACTCATTTTCCTATTACTGGCTGGCTATTAGCTTTTCCTTTGGTATGTGCCACGCAAATCAGGATGCACAGCTGAGGTTCAGGTTCATCCAAGCACGGTCGTGCACACCTGTAATTCCAGCACCTGAAAAGCTGAGGCACGAGAGTCATGAGTTCAAGGCCCACCTTGAAACATCCGCAGCAACTACACAAGCTGGAAGACATGAAGGGAGAAGAGCTGGTGTTTGTAACATCATGGAAAGAAATCTGGTGTGTCCAGTCAGGCAGGAAAGCCACATGCCTGCAATTGTGGCACTTGGGAGGCTGAGGCAGGAGGATGGCAAGTTAGAGGGCAACCTAAACTATGTTGTGAGGCCTTGTTTCAAAAAAAAAAAAAATCCTCCTACCACCCAAATAAGTGGGCCAGTGAGGTGGCTCAGTGGGCCCTCCAGGAAGCCTGACAACCCAAATCCAATTCCAGGGATCCACAAGGTGGAGGAAGAAAACCAACTCCTGCAAGTGGCATTTGAGTGTTTACGTGCACACAAATAAAACATAAAAGTTTTAAAAAGTGGTCCATCACCAGGTGGTGGTGGTGTACACCTTTAATCCCAGCATTTGGGAGGCAGAGGCAGAGGTAGGTGGATTTCTGTGAGTTCAGGGCCAGCCTGGTCTACAAAGCAAGTTCCAAGACAACTAGGACTATTGCACAGAGAAACCCTGCCTTTTTTTTTTTTTTTTTTGAAACCCTATCTTCAAAACAAAACAAGTGGACCATCGCTTCCATGTAAACGGTGTCAGAGTTAGGAGTGCTCTGTGTGGTTTGGTATGTGTGTGTGGTGGTGGGGGGAGAGGTCATGTACTTGTATGTGTATGGAGGTCAAATATTGCCTGGTACTCATCCACTTAGCTAGACTGGGTTGGTCAGTGAGCACCAGGGGTCTACTAGTCTCCATTCCTGCCCTGTTACCCCTTCCATTGCTGGGCTGAGGGTCCCACATAGCTAATGAGACTCCTAACCCATATCTGGATGCTCGTGTGGCAAGTACTTTACAGACAGAGCCATCTCCCATCACCTTTTTCTATTTTTTCTGAGATGCACCCGAGGCTGGCATTAAACTCATTATTCCCTGCCTTCCTACCTCTACCTCCAGATTACAGTTACCACACTGGGTTTTGTTTGTTTGTTTTTATCATGATTGTCTGAGTGTGGGCTCACATGTGACGTTGTTCAAGTGTGGAGGTCAGAGGACAACTTTTGGAAGTAGTTTCTCTCCTTGAACCATATAGCAGGAGTGTAGGGGAGAAGGAATGCAGGAGGAAGTGATCTGTAAGCTGAGAAAGCTGTCAGGGAGCCTCTAGCACATGAAAACCCTGGCATTCCTAGAGGGTGGTGTTTGGGGCGGTGCTGAAGTCCGGCTAGAGTGGAGCAGCATGCAAGGTGAGAGGAGAGAGTGGAGTGTTTGGCTGCACTTGGGACCTCGGTTCTTATCGTTTCACCAAATAAACATAGGAATGAATTAGTGATAGGTGGTTGCTAATGGTTGGGTTGCCTTCCTTCTGTTGCAGACAAGTGATCCCAGTGTGCGTTATCCAAGTTGGACTCCCCTGAGTGTCACGTCTTGATCCTCTGCCTGGCAGGGGGAGGCCTTATTTAGCCTGGCCTAGCTCTTCTGAGCTTTCTTTGGAATGTCTATATATAGGGAAGAGGGCAGCCCAGTTGCCACTGTCCATCTGCCTTCCTTGGTGTCTGGTCCACCCTTCCCTGGCCCCAGATTTAGTTGTCTCCATGTTCTTTCTGTTGATTTAGCAACTGTCCATGAGCCTTGACTACCTCATCACTCAGCCTGGATCCTGTGGATTCTTTTTTTTTTTTTTTAAACAATACAAATGCTTTATTCAATAGTTGCAGGTCATCATGGGCCAAGTGGTGGATATTCAGAACCCAGCAGCAAGGTCAGCGTAATCTCCGAGCCTCTCTTTCTGACTCCAATAGGGTGAGCACATCACCTTCCCGAACAGGGCCTTTGCTGTTCCGAATGGTAGAGCGGCTGGTGTCATCCATAAATTCCACTCACACATGTGTGCACTGTCCCTGCAAACCAGTCCTGCCCAGCACTTTGGTTACCCTAGCCAGCTTGATGGGCTGCATGCGACTCGTGTCCATGAGGGCTACGATCCAGCAGAGAGCAATCCTGTGGATTCTTAGAGTGTGTTCTCTTTGGATTCCTTCTGCCCCCACCTTCACTCTACAGAGGTTCAGGAAAGGGCTAGCTGTCCTCTTTCATGTTTTTATAAGTATATGTGTATTTACAAATATTTAATGTCTGAACTTTACATTCCACACCCCAGGGATTTCACAATAGAAATAAGTATTGAATAACTACATTGGTAAATGAGTGCTTTGTTCATAGAAATGATGCCTCCCATGCTGGAGAAGCAGCTCCTGTCTTGAAAAACAAAAAACAAAACAAAAAAGAATTGCCAGGGCTCAGTGGTTAAGAACACTTGCTGCTCTCCCAGAAGATCTTGGTTCAATTCTCAGCAACCACGAGGTAGCTCCCAACTGTGGGATCTGATGCCTTCTTCTGGTCTCTTTGGGCACCAGGCATGCACACAGTGCACAGACATACATACTAACACCACACCCACACACATTTAAAAATTAAGTTTTAAGAGAATCACCAAGGTCGGGGATGTAGTTCAGCTGGTCACCAAAGGCCGTGCATGTGGCTCAGTTGGTATAGTAGCATATACAAAGCCCTGGCTTGGATTCGCAGCACTGCATAAATCTATCATGCTTACAGTCTCAGGGATTTGGAAGATTAAGGATTGCTCGAGCCCAGGAGTTAGAGACCACCTCAGTTGACAGTGGAGACTCTGTTGCAAAATCAATCAAAGGACTTAAACAGGGCTTAGTGGCATATGCCTTTAGATCACAGCAATCTGGAGATGGAGGAGGGGCATTAGAACTTCAATGTTATTCAGGGCCAGCCTGGGATACATGAGATCTGGCCTCCCAACGGTGGAAAGGAATTCCTCTGAAGACCTGTGTGGCTTACAAAGCCCTCTAGTCAGAAGGGGGTAATAATAGTTACCACCTCACAGGATGAACACCAGATGAGATCATGAGCCTGGATGCTCTGCATACTGTGGACACATGTGGGAGCCCAGTAAGTAGTGGCCTAGGTATCCCTCACCCCTTGGGCCAAGCATCAGCCCAGGCCCCTAGCACAAGCTAGGTGACATATTCATCTGGGCTCACATTCGCCCTTTCTCTCTTGGAGAAATGTGTGCTTTGAGGAGCCTCACCATGCACCCACCATCAATGGCTCAGAGGCACAACTTCGTCCTGAGTTTTGCACTTCAAGCCTGGGCTCCTCCTATTCCATCCAGTTCCACTATGCTGTCTCTATTCTGAACATCCCCTCCCATCTTGGGGCAAATGTACTGGGGGATGGGAGCGTCCTAAGACAGTGGAGCAGGGCAGGCCCTTCTCCTAGGAATCTAGGAGGACGTCAGAGCTAACCACCTGCTCAGAAGCTTAAATTTCCCTGCAGAGGCCCTTGGCTAAATTAGGTAATGGGCTAGGACTCTGGCAGGGGTGGGGCTTGCTGACCCCTGGATCTGATTGGTCAGGGTATCCAGTTCTGGGGAGCAGGGAGGAGGGAAGATAGGATGCCCCTACAAATCCCGGGGGCTAGAGAGATCTAGAGCACCTTTGGGTGGTGGAGTGCAAAGGAGACGGCGCAGTGCAGAGGAGTCCCTGTAACCAGCAACCATGGTAAGGACATGAGGGGACTTCACTCTTTTGTTCACAGGCTGCTTCTGGGCCTCTTTCAGTCCTAGAACCAGGTGTTCTGTGGGCAGCAATGTGGACATCTGAAGGTGGAAGATAAGGGTTGCTGGAACCCAAGTCCTGTGGGGACATCCTGGGAAGGCTGTGACTTTTCTTGCATGGGGAGAGCTGGTCAAGATGTTTCAGGAACTGATCCTCAAGGCTGTGACATCCTGGCCACCTTCTAAGGCTTGAGATGGTGCTATTCTATAGCCAGGGTTGTGTGGAAAGGGTCTCAGCTTGTCTACTTCATAAAAGGGATGGAGACCTTGAGGGCAGGAAAAAGTCACCCAGCAAGGCAGAGGCAGTGTTGGCTTCCTAGGCCCAGCTGAACCTGTGGCAGCCAGAGAAGACAGGCTTCCTTGGACGACGGGAGGTCTGTGGGGCCTGCAGCCAACCCCGGTACAGGCCTGTGAGAATCCTGAGGATGATGGGGAGTAGGAGTGTGTGACAGGCCATGGTTAGAGGCCCTGACCGTCCACAGAGGACTGCCATCTTCTTCTGAGATCCTCCTTCCCCCTTCACTTGAAGGAGTAATTGGACTCCAGGGACCAGCTGCCATTGCCCATGCCCAACTAAAAATAGCCTACCCTCCTGGATCAGGCCAAGGGGTGGAGGAGGCAAGAAGGACCTGGGCCAGCTGGCTGAAGAATGCCTGGGGACTTAATCACCCCTTCCTTACCACCAGGTCACCAAAGCCCTGACCTGGATGGCCTGGCTTGCCTGTGACCTGGAAAAGTCCACAGAAACCTTCTTTTCAGAGACACATGTCAACTTATGCACATGTGAGCCCAATACTCAGGAGGCAGAGTCAGGAGAATGGAGAACTCGAGGCAAGCTACTTTCACATCATGAGTTCCAGGCCAACCTGAGCTGCGTAGCAAGACTGTCTAAAAACCAAAACGCTGAAACAGAACAAACTTTCCTTATGTCCACACCAAGGCAAGGCCCCATCACATTTGACATGGTATTTACTCCAATGACCAAGTGTGAAATTTCACCTCTGCAAATCTTTTAAGGCGAAGCTGCCCGTGTCTTCTTGCGGTCTCAGCCTCTGAGCACTTAGCTGGTGTTCTGTGACCCTACATTCCATCATTTAGTTCAGGACAAGTATTCATGGCCACCAGTCAAGCACCAAGCAGCATTAAGAGATAGGTGGAAACTGGAAAGTCACCCAGTGCTAACATATCCTAAACCTTTTACCACCCCTGGCATCCTATTAATTCCACAAAGCAGCCCAGGAAGCATGACTTGCCACAGGTCACCACTGGGATGGGGGTTTCTTGGCTTGACTCTCAGAGGATAGAAAAGTGATAAAACTATGGGGCATAATCTGTGTCCCATCTCCTCAGCACTGGGGGTGGGCACTGAGGGGGCACCTGGGAGGTGCAGCAGGAGGGCCCAGGGGCACTTCCTGACAAGCCGAGGCGAATGAGGAGAATGAAACTGAGGTGAGAATCTGCCCTTCTGTACTCTGATTCTCTCTTTGTTTTCTCCAGACGGACCAACAGGCTGAGGCCAGGTCCTACCTCAGCGAGGAGATGATCGCTGGTGAGTGAGAGTGGGTCATTGGGGGAGAGAACAGGTGTGAGGCTGACGATCCAACTGGCCGCACTCATCCCTCTCCGCTTCTCCCCTGCTAGAGTTCAAGGCTGCCTTTGACATGTTTGATGCTGATGGTGGTGGGGACATCAGCGTTAAAGAGCTGGGCACCGTGATGAGGATGCTAGGGCAGACACCCACCAAAGAGGAACTGGATGCCATCATTGAGGAGGTGGACGAGGATGGTGAGTGAGCTGGGCCCTCCAGGCAGGGGGCTGTGGGGGAGACGCTCAGTGCGCGCTGGGCTAAGTGTCACGCCCGATCCCCACAGGCAGCGGCACCATCGACTTTGAGGAGTTCTTGGTCATGATGGTGCGCCAGATGAAAGAGGATGCGAAGGGGAAGAGCGAAGAGGAGCTGGCAGAGTGTTTCCGCATCTTTGACAGGTGCGGGTGGCTTCAGGGATCACGGGCTTGGGAGCAGATGGAGCCTGCTGGCCTGAAGCGAAGGAGCAGGCTGGCCAGGGTCAGGGTGTGAGCTGAGGCGTCAGGCATGGCTCCAACAATTCACCGGTTCCGCCTGTCCTGCTCTGTCCCCTTCCCCCAAAGGAACGCAGACGGCTACATTGATGCTGAGGAGCTGGCTGAGATTTTCCGGGCTTCTGGGGAGCACGTGACAGATGAGGAAATCGAATCCCTGATGAAGGACGGAGATAAGAACAACGATGGCCGCATTGACTTCGATGGTGAGAGCCCGCGGATGCTCTTAGCTTTGTAGATGGGGTTGGGCTAAGCTAAGCTCCTTCCCGCTCTCCTGAGGGCCCGCAGGGTGCTCCCGCAGCTTAGTGCAGTTTAGCGAGCAGGCAACCCTCTGCGAGCCGGGCGCCCAGGCCGTATCTCTGCACCCGGAGTGGTGTCCCTGACCTCGTCCCTCTTTTTCTCCGCAGAGTTCCTGAAGATGATGGAGGGCGTCCAGTAAGGAGCCGGCCTTTGCTTCCACCCAGATCGCAGGTCCCCCGGGCGTGGACAACTCCACCCTTGCCTTCCCCGCCCCTCCAGGGAAGGGTCGCTCCTTCGGGCTTTGTGGCTGGAAGGAATAAAAGCTGACAATGCAAAGCTGGCCTGACTGACAGGGGAGTGAGTGGTTGAGGGCAAGGGATCTTAGGGTCGCCTGGCTGGCTTGGCGCCCAGAGAGTTCCCGGGAGCGGCGGTATATGAAAAGGAACTGGGCCATGCGAGCCCGAGGCCCCGGCTGTGGAGTGCTGGGCGGTGCTCCACCGGCTGGCTCTACAGGTCCGCGGCTAACACGCAGCTGGCGCTGGCTGCGCGGCTTGGCAAGTGGGCCGCGGTTGTCCCTGGCGCTGGTGGAGGGGAGCAGCAGGACGAGCTGGCTGCGCGGCGAGCACAGGATCCTGGGATGGGTAGGGCGAAGGTGTGTTTCGGAAGTTGGAACCTGGGAGCAGGCAACGCTTTTTTTCTCCACCATTTCTGGAAACTCTTGGGTCTTGGGTGTAGTTCACACTGTGCAGGCCCCTCCTGAGAGGAGGAGTCCATCCATCCATCCCAGACAGCTGCACGCAAACCTGGAAGAGGGCGACTGCTTTGGTTCCCCATCTCCCTCCCTTCAGCCCCCTCCATTGCGCTCCAGAGGGCCAAGGGCATGACCTAGCTAAGATGGAACCCTACCCCGAAGTAGGGTGAAGTTCTCACTCCCAGAATGCCTTACCCCTTCTTAGGAACCTGGCAGATTCGTCAACCCACAAGCCTAGGCTCAGATACCGTCTCTAACCTGGATTTCAGGCCCCACTGCTTCACTCAGGGCCGTTAACCTTCGCTACCACTCAACTGCTAAGAGCTATCTGAATGCATAGTACATTAGCCTGGGAGTCAGGTTCTTGGGTTTGAGTCTTCACTGCCTGTGACAAATTCAACCTCTTTGTGACTCAGTTTCCTTATCTGTAAAATGATAATAGGAGATCTAGAATACTTGTGTGCAAAATGCTTAGAACAGCTCCTGACACATAGCAAGCATCATTTAATAATGCTCGCACTTACTTGGTTCTGGAGATGGGGCCCAGATGCATGCTAGGCCAGTGAGGGGTCACGGACCTACATCTGTACTCCGTTCCATTGCAAACAGCGTCTACTCCGTTCCATTGCAAACAGCGTCTACTCCGTTCCATTGCATACAGTGTCTACTCCGTTCCATTGCACACAGCGTCTACTCCGTTCCATTGCATACAGCGTCTACTCCGTTCCATTGTATACAGCATATGTACCTTTTGCTATTATTAAGATCACCCTTGTGGGGTTAATCCCAGCACTCAGGAGGCAGATGCAGGTGGATCTCTGTGAGTTCGAGGCCAGCCTGGTCTCCAGAGTGAGTTCCAAGACAGGCTTCAAAACTACACAGAGAACCAAGTCTCAATTGCCCCCTCCCCCCAAAAAATCACCCTTACTGCCGTTTTTATTTATTTTTATTTATTTTTTTGAGACAGGATCTCTCCACATAACCCTGGCTAGCCTGAAACTCACTCTGTAGACCAAGCTGGCCCCAAACTCACAGAGATCCTCCTGCTTCTGCCTCCTGAGTGCTGGGATTAAAGGTGTGCGCCACCATCCTCCTCCTGCCACTGTACGTGAAACCCTGAACTTTGTAGTTATTTATACATTACTACAGGAGTACATTACTACAGTTATTTATTCATTACCACCCTTTCCATCCCTGCCCTGCCTTCTACCCCTGCAGAAACATTTTTATTCTTTTAGATTTATGTGTGTAAATGTTTTACCTGCATGTATGTCTGTGCACCACATGGATGCCTGGTGTCTGAGGAGGCCAGAAGAGGGTATGAATCCCCTGGAACTGGAGTTACAGAGGGTTGTGAACCACCATGTGGGTGCTGGGAACTGAACCCAGGACCTCTTCAAGAGCACAAGTGCCCTTAACCACTGAGCCATCTACCCAGCCCCTCCACTTAATTTTTTAAAATTAGATTTATGTCACATGTGTTTGCTGGTGAGTACCCATGCTATGGCATATATGTAGAGAGGTCAGAGGACAGTTTTTGGGAGTCCTTTTCTCTTTGCCTCATGTGTGGTCTGGGATTGAACTCAGGCTGTCAGGCTTGCCAGTCAGCACCTTCCAGTTCCTCTCCCCCTTTTGTTCCATTCACAGACCTCCCAATCCACACCAGTGCTGGTGTTAGAAATGTTTATTAAGTGCCTACTATGTGCTTCGTCACTGCCCATTCAGCCTTGTAACTCAAGACAGCCTGGTTCTTGAAAACAGTTAAGATCTTCCTGTCTCTAAACTGCAGTTGGATCTTTCTTCCTCCATCTTTTGATTTTTTTTTTTTTAAAGATTTATTTATTATACATACAGTGTTCTGCCTGCATGTCTTCCTGCAGGCCAGAAGAGGGCACCAGATCTCATTATATAGATGGTTGTGAGCCAACATGTAGTTGCTGGGAATTGAACTCAGGACCTCTGGAAGAGCAGTCAGTGCTCTTAACTTCTGAGCCATCTCACCAGCCCCCTTCTTTTGGTTTTTGAGACAGCTTTGTAGACCAAGCTGACCTCGAACTCACAGAGATCCATCTGTCTCTGCCTCTGGAGTGCTGGGATTAAAGGCGTGCACTGCCTCCTCCCAACTTTAATATTTTTCTTTTTTAAGAGGATCTTTCTAGCCAGGTGTTGGTAGAGCATGCCTTTAATCCCAGCAGAGGAAGGCAGAGGCCACTCGGGAGGCAGAGGAAGGTGGATCTCTGTGAGTTCAAGACCAGCCTGGTCTACAAGAGCTAGTTCCAGGACAGCCTCCAAAACCACAGAGAAACCCTGTCTTGAAAAAAACACCAAAAGAAAAAAAAAAAAAAAAAAAAAAAAAAAAAAAAAAAAAAAAAAGAGGATCTTTCTAAACCGGTCTCACTACATCACTGCTGTACCTAAGGCTTCTTCAGCTTTTGTTGTCTTCAAGATGAATCTCAAGCAGCTGCCCCTTCCCCCTCCTCCCTGCAGTCCTGGGGACTGAACCTAGGTTCTCTAGTGTGGTAACAGGCATTTTGCCTTGGCTGCAAGCCCTGGGAGAGCAGCCACCCAGCTACCTTAGCAGCCAGAACTCCTCCCAGTGGGCACACCCCAGGAGTGTTTGCATCCCAAGAAACACCCTCCCTTTCTTCCCACGATAGCATTCTAAACTCTACAGCATTGGAGACTGAGTCCTCTAATCTTATTTATTTATTTATTTGAGACAGGGTTTCTCTGCATAGCCTTGGCTGTCCTGGAACTCAGCTTTGTAGACCAGGCTGGCCTCAACTCAGAGATCCTCCTGCGTCTGCTGGGATTACAGATGTGTGCCACAATACCTGGCTTCTTCTTTTAGCAATCCCATTAGTAAACAATTTTATTGTGTGACACACTGTAGTTGGCATGTGGAGGGCAGAGAATGGCTGTGTGGTGTTGGTTCTCTCCTTTCACCTTTACGTGGGTTCTGGGGACCCACAGGCCACAAGGCTTGCTTAACCTACTTATTTGGTCCTTAAATAGTTACAACTCTGGACCCTTGTGACAGGGTAGGTCAGCTGACCATGTAGAGGACTAAACATTATCATAAGGACCACCTGTCCCAGCTTTTCTAGGCAGACCAAATACAGCCACTTCAGCATTTATCTGGAACTGATTTAGTGCAGGTTTCTGAGCTGTCCTGTTCTCAGGCATCCTCTTTAAATCTGTTCTAGGTCGCACCTGTGCTGTTTCCAGGACCACACCTTTTTTCTTTGCTAGAATTTCAGGCATGTCTCATCATGTTGGATTTATCTTTGTGTGTGTGAGAGATAGGGCCTTGATAATATACTTTTGCCTTAGAATGCTATATAGACTTGACTGGTCTTGATCTTTTTTTTTTTCTCAAGACAGGGTTTCTCTGTGGCTGTCCTGGAACTAGCTCTTATAGACCAGGCTGTCTCAAACTCACAAAGATCTGTCTGTCTCTGCCTCCCGAGTGCTGGGATTACAGGGGAGTCACTGCCAGCACCTATTTCAGTTTCCCTTCCCTTTTCTAGACAGGGTATATCTTAGACTGGCCTCAAATGATAAAGTCCAGGATGATCTTGAACATTTGGTTTTTTGAGACAGGGTTTCTCTGTGGCTTTGGAGGCTGTCCTGGAACTAGCTCTTGTAGACCGGGCTGGTCTCGAACTCATAGAGATCTGAGCCTCTGCCTCCCAAGTGCTGGGATTAAAGGCATGTGCCACCACAGCCTGACCAATCTTGAATTTTTGATTCTCCTGCCTGTACTTCCTGGAGTGCTGGGGTTACAGGCAAACACTAGGTTAATGTGGTTCTGGGGACTGAACACAAAGTCTAATGCATGATAGACAAGCACTCTTCCAACTGAACGACAGCCTTTGCTGATCACCTTCTTAACTAGACCACAGCAAGAGTAGCTGGGGCCCACCAGAAATGCAACCTCCTGCTGCCCCTCCCAAGGGAAGTCGTATTTTAACAAGACCCCAAGCAGGTTTGTCCATATTTTGATTGATAAAGCTCTATGCCCAAGAGAAACACTAAGAATACTAGTTTCTGAACTAGTTTCACATGTGGCTGTAGGGAAGGTCCCAGGACTGAGCACGGGCTAACAGTAGTTAACAGACCAGACCTGTCTCTTTCCACAGGCCTGTACAACCAGCTGCTTGCAGAGCTGACAACTTAGGCAAGGTTTGTCACCTCATGGAGATGGAGCAGGAACCATCTGTGGGAGACTTGGGTCCAGAGCTCAGTCTTTTCCGGAGCTTTGGCCTGCTGTAGGGCAACCTGAACACCTCCTCCCATTTAACATGTTAGAAAGTGGGTGTCTAGTGCTCCCTCTCTCTTACAGATTCCTGAGCTAAAGGGTCTGGTTTAACCTCATCTGTAACCCAACAGTCACTGTACATGCTGTATGTAACTCCTCACAAATGGACATTATTTCTGGTGCTGGAATTGAACTCACGACTTCACAGGTCTTAAACATGCTCTCTGCCAGGGATCTATACCTTTGGGGAAATACATGAAGAATGTATGCGGCATGATAAACTAAGACACAAGGTAGCATCCTAGTGAGTGACCACTGGGCCCC